GTCTGTCCGGCCGCCCCCCAGCCTTTCCTTCCCTCCCCGCCCAGGTAGCCCTGCTGGACCGCAACTCCGAGGCCGGGCAGGAGAGCAAGGCGGCCCTGGACGAGCAGTTCGAAGCGCAGAGGACGGTGTTCATCCAGTGCGACGTTACGGACCAGGAGCAGCTGAGAGGTAAGGAGGAAACTGTCAGCGCCGTGCTCCGGCTTAACATGCAGCAACCTGAAAGAGCCCGGGCTGCTGCACCAATAAATGTGCAATTAAGGTTTCTGGAGGACAGCCCACTCCCAATCGCTTTTAACAGTGACTCAAAAAGGATTTGTTTCTGAACCTGCAGATGTGAAATTTTACTACCAGCGTGCATGTATTTCACAGTGTTACTTGGCACATTGTAAAGAAAAGCCACATGAATCCTTTCCATTGGGTGCTCTGTGTGATATTTTTGCATGAAAGCCTCTGCAGAAGATAATTGTTATTTTATGAGTAATATATATAAACTTTAAAGCATGGACTTGGTTTTTATGAGGCTTCCAACTGCATTCCCTCGTCACAAGAGTAATAAATTCTGCTCTGGGTTGCAGTGCTCTTTCTATACAGCACGCTTACTTTCAAAGTGTGCTGCTGTAGTTGAAAGCAGGATTGGCAAAGCTGTCACGCTGCTTTATCACAGTGTTAAATATGGGTTGGTAACATTTCACACACATCTTGCAGACGCAGGGAATGGCAAGGATCTCCCCTCATGTATGATATGCACTTATGTTTTCACTTAGTGAATAAAAAATCATGTGCCCTACTGAATTCTAAGAGTATCATATAATGTTGATGTACCCTTCATAATATTTCATAACTGCCACATCGCTTCATCAAAGTTTCATTATTAAAGACATACATTCATAGGTAGTGACTCAGATTTTGACATCACTTTTGTTAGTGTTCTTTCCCCAGATTCATTTGTGTCGGGCTAGATGTGAACATTTTGAATTCTGCTTTTATTCACTACGCTTCACTGACCGCTTTCTCAACAGCGGTGATTGAGCATACCCATTCCTCTTTCACAAAAGATTGCAGCTAGTCCAGGATTCAGTAGTGTTGCTCACTGCTCAGAGCTAGCATGGTTATGCCGAGTTCCAAAGCTTTACACTGTCTATCTGTAAGAGAGATGCTGCACTTTAAATTTGAGATCTGCTCTAATCAGCAAACAAAGTTTTTTATCAGCTGGGTTGCTTATTGACTCCTCCAAGTAGAAGGAACAACCTAGGAGCAAGAAAAAGCATCGTGGGAGTAGGAAGCATGTGCTGCAGCACAGGTGTTACCCCACTGTGCTTTCTGTCTCCCACCTCCCATGATTCCTCCTCTCTTTAGTGCCAGGCTAGTGCAGGACCAACACTGGGAACTGGAGTGGAGTGAGCAGGATGGTTCACTGAGGGAGGTTTTGGAACCCAGTCAGTAGGAAAAGAGCAAGCAGACTAGAACCAGAATGGGCTCTTGCAAGGAGCAAGAACCTGCAGCTGCTGCTTGTGCTTCTCTGATACTGCATTATAAAAAAAGGTTTCTTAGTGTAAATTTGCAATCATGTCTTACAAGCTTTTGGGGTTTCTGGGGTAGTTTTAAGTGGTTTTGTTGGTTGATGGGTTTTTTTATTGCTTTATTTTCCTATTTTTTCACTTGTAATTGCAAGACACCACTTCATAAACTTAGATTAATTTCACTCCTAGTGTTTAAAGTTCTTAGTGGGTGCGTCAAGACCCATACTTGCTTTTTATGTTAAAAGTCATGTGCATGAATGAAGTTCCTCTTCTTTTAACTGTAGTCCTTTCGGTATGAAACAAGTCACAGTACCAGAATGAGTATCTGTACGTACATAAGGGTTATGGGTAGGAAATCAGCTGCTTCATCTAATTTCAAGTCTTGCCTGTGCTTTTTTTCCTCTGGGGCTCTTTCACATAGTCCCCCTCAGAAATCTGTCTTGTTCCTCTTTTGAAAAATCACCATACATCTCCTTTTGTTATCCATGAATATTTAGGAAGCTCACATATAACTGGTGTTTGTATTTACTTCCCACTGTTTTTCCTACCTCTCATTTAAAATGGATCCTCCTCTTCATTTTTCATTTTTCTTCATTCAGTATTTCATATAATCATCTGCTTTTAATTTTTATGATTCCATAAGTACTAACTAGCGTGCGATGTAAACACAGGATTATTCTACATTTGAAAAGGGAAGAACAGGCCAGGTTACACTGATGTATGGGTGACAACTTTATTAGGAATTTATAATGAGATTTTTTATTTTTTTTTGTGGATGGTTAGTAGATGACATTACGGTAGGCAGATAAATTTTTACCAAAAATATTCCAAATTTGGTAATCATTATTTTAACATAGATATGCAAACAGCTGAAAAACATTTGGCTCTTTTCTCAATTTATAAACTAGAAAACTACAATCAGTCAAGACTCTGTGAATTTAATAAACAAATAATTGACAAAAGTACTATTACCCATGGCGTTTTTTGAAGACCAAAGATTCTATTAAGAATGAGGTTGATGAAATATGTCATTTAGAGAAGGTTTAAAAAGGAATCAGATAACCAGTTTCCAAATTTTTGAAGCTAACTGAAGACCCATATTGTATGTATTTTGGTCATTGAAACTAAGTTAAATAATCAGTTCTGCTCCTAATAAAGCCAAAGGTTTTCATTTGCCCTTGTTGATGTAGGATTGGAAAGATGAGAAGTGATTGAAGAGTTAAGTTGAGAAACCAGAGAATGAATTAGCAACAAACATAACAAAAGCCAAAAAGGCAGACAGCCAGAAATAGAGGCTTTAGTAATATTAAAATATTCTAGTACAGAATAGGAGTATTAGAAAAATCAGTATAATAAAGGCAGTTGGACAAATAAAACCTTTTCCATCAGCTGTCCAGCTCTTACTCTGATGACAAGATGTGATGGGTTTGCCCTTGGTTGGGGACCAAACCACATACCCACTCATGCAATTCCCCCTCCCTCCCCCCACCTGAGGACAGGGGAGAGAATTAAAGGAGTAAAGGGAAAAAAGGACTCGTGGGTTGAGATAAGGACAATTTAATAACTAAACTACAATAATATTGAAAATAATACTATATACAAATAAGTGATACACAGTGATACTGCCCCCGACCCGATGACCAAAGGCTCAGCCTGTTCCTGGCCAACGATCCTGGAGAAGGGAGAGTCCCGAAACCGCACTCACGGAATGGAGATAACAGTCTGAGCATCCCAGACCGAGAGCTGACCGGGGTAGGGGGGGGAAGGCCTTGAGAGAGTGACCACCTGGAGCAAGATGACCCAGAGCAAAAGAGATCCGGAACTAAAAAGGGCTGATCTTCCGGAGGGTCCTCACCTATATACTGGGCATGACGTGTATGTGATGGAATAGATTATTGGCCACTCTGGTTCTCAATCCTGAACCTACGATCAAATCCTGGGCTAGTAACTGGGGCTGTGCTCCCTCCCAGCTTCTCCTGTTTGCAGACAGACAGAGAAGCTGAAAGACCTTGCCAGATGCATAAACATCACTTTTTATCAGCTTTCTTCTGAGCACAAATCCAAAACACAGTCTCTTGGTAGCTATTATGAAGAAAGTTAACTCTGTCTCAGCCCAGGACACAAGATGATGACTGTGATGGACCTGCAGCATTCAGGCAGAGAAAAGGCTGTAACAGTCCCAACCATCTGGTGCAAGAAAAAAACTTTGTAAACCCCTTCAAGTGCTGCAAAAAAAGATAGAGGTCTCAAAGCTGCTTCTGTGCTCCTGATTGACACTAATAGCCAAAGGCTAAAGATCTGAGAATTAAGATCACCTTTTAGTGAAGTGGTTTAATTAAAGGCCTGTCAAGCATAATTTCAGTATACCTAAAATACTCCAGATTTTCAGTCAGTCCCGAAATGATGTTTTTTAAAACAATACTGGGGGGTTTACATAATGATAAATTTTTAGTGATGAGGAACAATATTTGGAGAGAAAAACAAACAAGCTATATATACATGTCAGCTAACGTCTGCAGTCGTGGAAAGTCTTAGTCTGGAATGAACATCTGGAGGTCATCTCATCCAACTATCCTGTCAAAGCAGAGCCAGCCTGGATGAGTTTGCCCATCTCTATGACATCATCATGTTTTTCCACACACATCTTTTATCTCAGTCTGAACACTGTCACCTGGGAGAATACAGTGTCATTGTGGAAGTTTCCCAGTTCTTTATTTTGAAATTCTTGGGAAGACAGGTCACTATTTACATCAACAGAAGGAAGATTTGAATTTGAGAAACACATTATTAGAGTTACCTGACAAGTTGGATGTATAACAATTTATTCATAAATGGAAAAATTTACACAAGAACTATGACGAATGATTTGTAGTTGAGAGATTCATATTAGTTATATCACTGAATAAGAATTGCGTTCTTAGGTTAAATTCAGACTCAACAAAGAAAATTGTTCTGAACGCATGAAGCTTTTATTTTTAATTTAAAACAGATGGTGCCAAATTTTGAATTCACTAGCTATATCAACCTGTTACACATTGGGCTATAAATGCTTAATTTATATAATTAGGGTGCCACACATCCTATCTAATACAAAATGTATGGGTGCTAAGAACTTTCATTAGCTCCTGTTATCAGGTATTATAAAACTGAATGAAAAGGCAACTATGGCATCTTAATCCTTTCAGTTTCCCTGAACACGTTTAATATTGGTGAATGGTTAGGTAAAGAATTTAATTTCATGTTGCTCATTAGTGGTTAAGAAAACACCAAAGACATTTTGGTAGACTAATAAAACATTAATTTGATGCATGCATTGTATTTTTATATCTTACTTTCCATAAGTGCTAAGAAATTTCACCCTTGGATCTTACTGTAGGTGCTTTCAAAAAAGTAATTGAACATTTTGGAAGGCTGGATATTGTGGTTAATAATGCTGGAGTGAACAATGAGAAGGACTGGGAAAGCACTATACAAATTAACTTGGTAAGCATTATCTCCTCTCACATGTCCATATTTTATTTAATGCTGGAATATACCTGACAGCCTTTGGCTGGTACAGATTGTGCCATATGACAGGACAGGAGTTACTGGATCGGTAAACACAGCTATTGAAACAATACCCATGTAACTGGATATGCACTGACCAATAAATGTGGGTGCGGTGGGGCCTTTATGTTGTCTATCCAAGACATACAGCACTCTGTAGAGGTACTCAGGCTAACAACAGACAAAAATCTCTTTCTATAAAACCCAATGAAATCCCAGGTAGGTGTAAAAGTTTGGTGTCCAAAGCAGTAGAGTTGCATCTACAGGAAGCCAGTCTGTTTATATGAATATTTTATTTTAGTTACTTGTGAGACTCCGCCGGCCTGCATTAGAGAATAAGTTGCCATTTGTTGGTATTACAAACAACAGGTCCACATTTTCTTCACCAACTGAAGCAAGCACACAATCTGAGCATTTAAAGTAGGCCATTTCACCATCATCACTGACAGAAGCACCCAACTTAAGAGCACTTGCTTGTTAAAACCAAGTACATTCAACGAGCCTGCAAAATTTATTTTCAAACAGACTACTACCAATTCTTTGATATTATCTCATCAGGTAAGACCACAATATCTGTTTCTCAGTTGAAATTTTTTAAATTTACACTACATAGCTAGGACACCTAAGCTCCAAAGGAAACACCAACTTTCTACGTTAATTAAATTCTGACCAACTTGTATTCTGTCACCTCTGAAGTTCTAATTCAATGGTGATTCAACAAGTCACCCCTATGACCATACTTACAAAGTGTTATAATCTAGATCTGCAAAGAAATTAGCAAAAGGAAGCTTGGAAGAGTGTGATGTGGAGTTTTCTCCAACCAGTCATTTGGAACTTGTCAACACAACAAGAAAGCTCAGGATAAGAAAATATACACATATTTCTTCCTCCCTCTTTCATTTCTAGAATATTCTAAAAAATTAAACATCAGGAAGCTTCATATTGTGAAGTAACAGGAGCATGACATCTTCAGTGCTATGCAACATCAACATCTATTAGTACAGATCCCTTGAATTTGAAATAAGACTTTACTTGTGTTCTAGATGACTTATTTCTCTTTATTTCTGTGCCCAGTATAACACAGGATATACTACAGGCAGCCATCTACCTGTCAAATTTGTAGACACAGATAGTCATTACCAGAAAAACTGAAGTCAATGTGCAAAACACATTTGTCTGTGATTCACCTTTAAATTTAGCTCAAAAAATTAAGGCATTTCTGATCAGCAAATCTTGATGATATTTAATGTCCAGGTAAATATCCTAACTTAGAGTGACGTCTAAACAATTTTTCAATGCCAAGAGCTTAAAAGAAGGCATTGAGAACCTCCTTCTATTATTTTTTTTGTCTTGTCACCAGTGATAGGGCTGAGGCAGACCATAGGTGGGTTTGAACCATCTAAAGTATCAGAAGAAGTGGAATTCAAGTCTTACAAAGTTATATGCTTAACTGTCAAGCTACTGCACATAAAATTAAAAAAAAAAAAAAAAGGAAGATCATATAGTTTATACATTATTGTATAGGTTGTTTCACCATAAATGTCCTCATTACTTAGTCCATAGTTGAAAGCTGAAAAATTTCATCAATACATCCTGGTGACTGGAATAAGAACATCTAAAATGATCAAGAAGAGTAGAAGTACAGCCATGTGGATTAAATCAAGGCCACTCTAAGATCAAAATATCCTAATTTATCTTTTTATTTTAATATTCTTTCCCTGTCTAACCTTGGGTCAACTAAATAGCTTATTTCCATAGGGCATTTCTATCTAGTTATTGTAATTTCCATAAATCAAGATATAACATTTTGTGCTTTTTAACTATAACAAAGGAAGAATAACATGTAATATGTTATATTAATAGCATCATAGAATCATTAAGGTTGGAAAAGACCTCAAGGATCATCAAGTCCAACTGTCAACCCACACCACCTAACTCACTAAACCATGTCCCTAAGCACCACACCTACACATTTTTTGAACACCTCCAGGGATGGTGACTCCACCACCTCCCTGGGCAGCCTGTTCCAATGCCTGATCACTCTTTCAGTGAAGAAATTTTTTCTAATATCTAGCCTAAACCTCCTCTGGTGCAACTTGAGGCTGTTTCCTTTTGTCCTATCACTTGTTACTATAGAGAAGAGGCCAACGCCCACCTCACTACAACCTTCTTTCAGGTAGTTGTAGAGAGTGATAAGGTCTCCTCTCAGCCTCCTCTCTTCTCTAGACTAAACAACCCCAGTTCCCTCAGCTGCTCCTCATAAGAC